CCCCAGCCGCCTGCGGTCGGCCACACGCACACCGTCCGCGAGCCTGCCTCACCCTTATCGCTTCTGCGCGCAGAAGCTGCGAAGATCCCGCCATCCCTCGGGATCTGCCTACACTTGTTCACATTCACTTACTACCATTGATTGCACGTAAATAAACAGGCAGTCGCCCACCGCGGGGGTGCGAGGGGGGTGGGGGTGGGGAGACGGGGCAGACGGCCCCCCACCCCAGGGCTTTCAGATCTCCGCTGGGTTATCACCCGCCTCGCTGGAGCTGGGAACCTAGCCCCAAGCCCTAACAAACCCGGCGAACCTTTTTATCCCTCCAAGGGTCTGTTGTTTTGCTTTTGCTGTTTCCTCACAGGTCACTCTAAGCAGGGACCTCCGATACACCCATTGCCCCTGAGGGCACCTTCCGAAGGCTCATTATTTTTACGTAGAAATGTCCTTGATAGTTTGGACCCGAGGAGAATTACTCAAACATTAATTAGAAGATTGAGATTCATCAGTTAACGTTCAGGGAGTTCACACATTGGACAATGGGACAATTGAACCTGCTAGCAGTAACCCAGAATCTGCTGTGGATAAACTAGCTAGAAAGGTAAATGGCCCACATCCTAAAACACGAATAAGACAATTATTTTAAGCCCCAACTATTATGACTGTTCATCAACCTCACACCACCTGTCATCCTTTCTACTCCTGTGGGCTGTGATCTGCAAAGCTTGTTTGGGTGACCCTGTCTTACCAACTGGCACCAGGTGGAAGAGGCAGAAGACAGGAAGCAGAACACACATGCACTATAAATCCCCAAAGCTCCCTCCAACACCTACTTACAAATCTTTGTTCAAATGTGTTCTAACCAGTTCTTCCCAAAAGATCATCTATGATATTGGATCTCTCCCCCTGCTTTTTCTCTAGAGCAATTATCACCTTCTAATATACTATGTAAGCTGTTTTTTTCTTTCATTTCTCCCACCAGAACATAAGCTCCATGAGGGCAGGTATTTTGTGGGGGGTGGGGGGGGGGTCTTTTTTACTTAGAGCTGTATTGCCAGTGCCTACAATACAATAGGCACTCGATAAATATTTGTGCAATGTTGACATTACGTACCCTCCTGAAATCTGTGACTCTAAATCTGTACTTAGAACAAGTGCCTTAAACTCTCTCTAATCTGTTTTCACCTTCTTACAAAATCTGCCTTTAAGCTCACCCAGGCCACCACCTGAAAAACCACACCCTAGGAAGTCCAGAAAAGAGTCGGCACATAATGGACACAGTGAGTTTTTGTTAAGTGAATGAATTTTCACTTATTTGTATGTTGCTTTGTAGTCACTTAAATATGAATCACAGATTTATTTTGTCCAACTTCAAGTACATGATGAGCTTTTGTCCTCTCTTTCAGCTGTTAATACAATGTTCTCCCTATAGTTAGTCCTCCATAAATCTTAAAAGAACAAATAGAGAGGGGAGGGAGAAGCTTTATATTGCACTTTTATGCTGATTATGAAAATTCTGGCATTAGCAGAAACCTAATACATTCATGTGGTCTCAGTTATCATCCAGCTTCATTTGCAGATCACTTTATCCTTCCTTCCTTTCCCGTCTACAGCAATGCACACATAAGCTATGTCAAGCCTTTCCGCCAGTCAGTCCTGGGTGCTTTCTCAGAAGCCAGCAGCCTCCCTAACACGTCCTTTACAGTGGGCTTAGAGCAGTGGATTTCAAAGGTAAGCACTTCATGAAGCATTTGACATACTTAGAAAAATGCAAGTTCCTAGGCCCCTCATCCAAATATCCCATTCAAGTGGTCTAAGGTGAACCAGAAATCTTCATTTTTATCAAATCATGTGATCTTAAACCTGTGGTCAGCAGTCGGTACATTGGGAAACTTTCATCTAGATCAGTGGTTCTCAACCTTGGCTGCACATTAGAATCACCTGGGAATCTTTTTAAAATCCTGATTTCTGGGCCTCATCCTCCGGAAATTCTGTTTCTTTGTTATGGGGTGGGGCCACAACATTCATAACAAAGAAACAGAATTTCCGGAGGATGAGGCCCAGAAATCAGGATTTTAAAAAGATTCCCAGGTGATTCTAATGTGCAGCCAAGGTTGAGAACCACTGATCTAGATACAGTACTCAAATTCCTCTCTTCTCCTCTGGGAAGCTGCACTTTCTGCTTTTGGGGGCTTTCTCTTCCTCACGCCTGGTGGCTCCATTGAGCAGTCTTCCTGGCTCTCCCTTTCGTTGCTCTCCCCCAGGACATGCACACAGTCCTGGACTGTGCTCACGATGGGAAAAGAGTGAGAAGGGTAACAAAAAGTATGAACCCAGGCGTTCCAAGCTTGCTCTAAGATGCAACTGTATTTCTACCCTCTCCCATTACACTCTTCTGGGAAGGCAGCCACATACACATGTGCACATGCCCACATGCTTTTGATCTTGCTTTATAAAGATCACCCTGACCCTTTCCTTGATAAGGTACCCTCTTCTGCAGATATAATCAAAGCAAACCATAGGAATACCCTTGTGTTAGTTGGGCTCTTACGATATGTAAAATGCCAGGACATGTTCATTTTAAGGAAATAAGGACATTTCAGAAAGTCATAGCATCAGCCAGAACTACTGCTCATTCCAAGAATCAACTGCAGTCCTTGCAATCCAGCAGCAGGCTGGGATGCCTTGCTCATCCCCTCATTAACACGCATCTATTGCCCAGACTAGAAGAATATTGCAGTTCTTCTGAATCAGCATCTCTCTGCTTCTTTCTCATAGTGGCCTCAGCTTCTGCTACCTCTGCTTCTAGTGACGACTCTCTGTGACTTACATTTAAAACATCCCAAGAGAGAGGCTCTGAATACACTTGTCATTCACTGTTCAACAAGAAAGGCCTTTATGGGACACAAGTTTCCTGAGGGGACACCTAATTGGTGGTCAGCCTTATTTGTGCCTCGTTTAGAGATCATTGCCTTTGGGTGCTATAGTGGAACTCACTTTATAGATTTAATATGGCTCCAGCACTAAAGGCATCTGGGAAATGTTGGAGACTCTGTTTAACTTTCTGTGACTGTTTAACTCCCTGTAGCCTCAGGTTTGACTGACTTCCCAGAAAGCCAGAATGCGGCCCAAAGATAATCGTCAGGCCCTAGCAAGGAGGTTAATGAATGTGTAGAACGTGGAGAACTGCGTGATGTTATCTGTTAACTTAGAAGTGCATTGTTCTTTGTAGTGATCTACGTGACTACCCACCATATGCTTTTTACTATTATCCCCCTGTAAAAAAGAGATCCTGTCCCGGGAGGGGGTAGAGTCTTCTCGCAGGCCACCACGGGGAGCAGGCAGCTGCTTTGCCCATGTAGCTAAATTTTGCCTATTAAAGCTCTTATGAGCTTGAATAAGGCTCCACAACAGTCAGGGAAAGTTAAACAGGAGGAACTACCTCGGGATACTTTCATGGGCTCGAAGTCGGTTTTCTCACGTGGGAAATTCGTACTGCTAACTAGGTGTTATTTAATTCACTTACCCAGCATATATCTCCTCTGACTCTTATTTCACTTTGTATTCTTTTCTTGCATATCTGTTTTCCCTAGTGGGCAGTTAATTCCTCAAAGTCCATGCTGATTTTAACGCTATATCCTGTAGCTCTTTGCACATTGTAGGACCTCTATAAATTTTTGTTCACGTGAGTGAAATCATAACAAACCTTCAGCAGTCTCTAAAAGTCACTTCATTCTCATCTAGCCCAATTCCTAGATCATTTCTAAATGAATACCCCCTCCTCATGGCAAATGCCTGTCCAAAGCCAAATTCCCCTTCTTAGTTCTCCCAAACTAATACCCTCTCCCAAGTTCTCCATCTTACCTGAAGGGCATGATGGTCCTTCAAAACTTTATATTCAAAAACTGAAGTTAATTTTTAATCCACTCTGCATTCAAATCGATTACAGCTCCCTTTCATTATATTTCCTAAGCATTTTCTCTTATCTGCCTCTTCCACATTCTTTCCTTCACACCCGCACTTCTGGAACAACTTCCTCATGACTTTCCTACATCCTGGCTTTCTTCTCTTCAATGCAGGCCATATGCTGTTGCCAAATTAATCTTCCTTATACATGTCTTTCATCATCATCAAACATTTCCTCTGTACCTTCTCTATATAGGCTGCACTCATACAGATTATATATTTTAAAAGTACAAAGAATTAATAAGCTTAGTACCTAAAGATGATGATAAATACCTTAGAAATTTAGTGAGGAATGATCGCTGGTCTTAGCTAAGCCTTCACTAAGAGTGAATCTTGCTTACAGATCTTAATAACTCTTTGTATCCAACTGAATCAAGGCCAAATTCTTGGTACCTAGCTATATATATATATTTCAGAGAGGAAGGAAGAAGGAGAGAGAGATAGAAACATCAATGAGAGAGAATCATTGATCGGCTGCCTCCTGCACACCCCGCACTGGGGATCGAGCCCGCAACCCAGGCATGTGCCCTTGGCCGGAATCGAACCTGGGACCCTTCAGTCCACAGGCTAACGCTCCATCCACTGAGCCAAGCCGGCTAGGGCGGTACCTAGCTTTTGATAGCATCCATTGTCTGGCACTATGCTGCCCTGTAACTTTGTCTCCCACCTCCCCAAAGCAGGTACTCTCTCCTCCTCAAGCAATCCTCCTCTCTGTGGTACAAAACTAGGTTACTGTGTCTTTGCTCCTTTTTCACCCAGCGTCTTTCTGCCTCTCTTTCAAGATCTAGAACAAGTCCGACCTCCTTTATGAAAGCTTTGTTAATTATGCCATCTTTTTTTCTCCGTCTATTATTCCATACAGGTTACTTATGTCTCCCCAAGTAAATTCTAAAATCCTAGAGGCGAGAGCCATATCTTAAGTGTGTGAACCCCACCCACCCACACAAGCACAGTCCACTGCAATTACTCAATAACTACACGAGTACATATAATGTCCTTATCAGCAAGGTAAACACAATGAAAGCAATGCTTGAGGAAGATTAGAACGGTAACAAACGCAGAAAAGATTGGAAGGGGGAGAGGCCTCGGGGGATGGGTTTTGTGAATGGTATAACAGTACCTGGTGGCAGTGGGAATTGTACACTGGCTAAATTTACTAGTCATGTCAGTTAGCACAAATCCATGAGTCTTTGCAAGCTATGCATTTAAAAATGGAGCAATGACATAAGTTACTATTTGTTAAACGCCTTCAAGGAGCCAAACAAGTTCCATACACTACTTTCAACAAAGAACAAATCAATCCATATCTGTCCACTTCTCTTCTTTACTGCTACCACTACATCCCAAGCCACCATCCATTGTCCCTCTCCCAGGGGGACAGTCATCCATTAATGGATCCCTGGCTCTATACTGGCTTCCCTACAATCCATTTCCCATGGGCAGCCAGACTGAGTCTTCTCAAAATGCAAATTGGATCATGTGACCAGATCAAGCTCTCTAAAGGCTTTTCATTGCTCTCAGAAGAAAATTAAAATGCATTTAACTCATTTCATGCTGCAGTTTTTCCCTACTTCTGAACACATCACGTATGATCCCTTTCCTCACTAGGCTCCAACTACACTAGCCACCTTTTTCTTCCCTTTATGTACCACGTTCATTCCCTCCTCAGGGCCTTGAACAACCAATTTCCTCAGCTGAGGATGCTCCTTCTTGCTTTTCAGGTGTCAGAATAATACCACCACTTCAGGAGAGAGTCCCCAACACCTAGCTTAAATCAGCACTCCCCACCCTATCCTTCTACTCTCCAACAAATCACTCCTTCACACAGACACTTGTTTAATCCTGCTTATCATACCTGAACTTATCGTGGTTGTTTCTGTATTTGCTTGTCTGTTTCCTCCCTGAAATATAAATTTCATGAGCCAGGGAACACTGAATCCTCCATATCCAGAGAGACCTAGGCGCGTAGGAGTCACTTAATAAAAATCTGTGGGTTTGCTGCTCTAAAGAAAATAATAGGACTAATAATCCACTCTAAGTAAGGACTTTGCAAGTAAATTAAAGTCTCTTGCTTTTGTTTCTAGCTCCCTAACGCAACAGTACTTCATTGAATGTTTTTCTTTTTAGAAATATTAGAAATCACAAGTATTTTTTAAAACCCCTCCCTTCTAATTCGCCAAGGAGGTACTCATTGGACAACCCATTGCTTACAAGCCTGATTTTCCTAGTTTTTGACTTTTCTCCTTAATCCCAGTTATTAAATATGTTGTAAAGTGCTTCTATTCCATTCAAGGTAAAGTGCATTCAAATAGAGCTTTATTTGTGCACATCAATTTAACATTTTAGAGTCTAGAGGCATTAGGTCCCTTTGGGATCAGACATCTAATTTGGTATCCATATGTCCTCAACTGAAAGAAGCAAGTCACTCTTTTGCTAAATTCTTATAGTCTCTGTGGAAGATTGTTTGCCTTGTCAAGTGTCCCTTGAAAGCCAAGATGTAGGAGTTTGTGAATGTACCAAAAAGAATAGAAGACCAGTCTTTCACATGCTGAAAACTCAGAGGAACGTCTTTGTTTTCACTGATAGAGTCATAATTCTTATATTAGCGGTCTGTGAATGTGTGGAGAACTTGCAAATGGAAATATAAATGATTATTTCATTTTATTCTGAATCCCTTTCATAAATAATTGTAATGTCTGCATAAGATAAGTCTATGTATGCACAAACCTCAACAAACATAAATATTACCATTTGCCCTTAAGAAG